CCACCCCCCTGACCTATTTTCATCAGTTAACAAAGCAGGCACACCTTTCAATATCAGTTTTTCATTCCAACTAGGGTTTTGGTTTTTTGGTTTTTACTCACCAATTGCTTTCAGAAACCCCAGCCAATGCTTCCGTATACTAAGCCTCATCTTTCCAGATGCTTCAGTAAAAATAAAAAGCAATCTCCATCTGAACCTGCACCACGCAGTGACAATTCTGCTCAAAAAGCTGTAAGTATGGAGATCTCACATCACGCAGCAGCAGCAGCAGCAGCAGCAGCAGCAGCAAGACAGGCTTGAAGCCACATAAATGAGGGATGGACAGGCTACGAGGCTCACACCAGAAAACAAACGTTTTTTGAAAAGCGCTGCCTTCTAATTCCAGACTGCATTATGCTAACTGTGAAAACAAAAGCAGCCACAAACTGCACACACAGCCCAATGCCTCTTGCTGCAGTGAAAGAGTTCCTCTGTCACAGTGTTCCTTTAAATAATGATAATAATAATCGGGAACTAGAAGATACATTAAAAACAAAAGTACTATATCAGGCGGTGCCTCACCCACTGTAATCTTTTATAGTACTTTCTGCAGGCAGGGATGGGCAAACACATCTTGCACGTAAAGGCAAGGGCTGCAATCCTGCCTACGATTATATGGAGAGAAGTTCCATTGATTTTAGTGGGATTTGCCCACACATAACTCTGTGGTCAGGATTGCATTCTAGAAGAACAAAAGGAATACTGAGCGCTGCAGCTACAGCAACAAAAATAAGCTTTGAACTTACTAATTATGAGTCAATGCAGTACTTTATAGACCTACGTGCTACCGGAGAACTAAGATTTGTTAACTTACCAGAATCTATAAACATTTTGCTGCTATTCGGATGGATTCAGAAAGGCTGCATCCTTGCAAATACATCCCAGCGAGGAACAGTGAATGGAATCTGCCCCAGCCTCTGTTTCACTCGCTGACATACAGATGGTTTTCAAAGCCATGCCTCACAACAGCTGGCTTGTTTTTGCCTTCTCATGTGACTGACAAGTTCATACAAGCACTGTCAACTTTAACCTCAGTGACAGAAGGCTCAGCTTGTTTTATACGTTACATCACCAGAAATTATTGACCTTCGGCAGAAAAGGTTGTAGACTTCAAAGCTTTGTGTTCTTTTTTAACCCCTCAAAAAAGATTTTTGCAAATGCACTGTTGTGAGTTTTGTTGTTTTTATTATTATTAAGCATTCTAGTGTCATAAACAATAGGCGTGGAAGTTGCAGAAAACATATTATTGTGGTTGCCTAATTATTGCCTAATTGTGACAGGTACAAGGAAGGTATCTTTTATAATTGCCTTCAAAATCTCACACACTGCCCTGCAAATTACACCTTCACACTTATTGGGTTTGGTCAAAAAACCCCAACAACAATGGAAGCTATCTTGCACACAGACACAACCAGTTTGACCAAAGATGAGAGAGCCACAAAAAAAATTGAACACGTGTAATACCAGAAACAATGGCTCTATCATGTTACCTTCACATCTCAGGGTGAGGGGGATATCTGTGCACAATCTTAGTAAAGTGCCCTGCTGTCAAAATTTAAGACCTTCAGTAGGTTTACAGGAACTAAAGGGTTTGCTCATATTTGTGGCACAAATAAACATTCTGTGTATCTTTAAAAACAAAGCAAAAAAGATGGTTTGCAATAACCTTCAGGGCTACAAACCATTCTTAGCCATTCACCAGAAAGAAAGGGGGGTGCAAGCAGTTCAGTGCCACCAGATATATGTCTGATGAAAGCATGATGTGTGAACAGGGTCAGAAACGATGCACAAGCTTGTTCCTCGTAAGAAGAGCCCTGGTGGATCACACCAAAGGCCTGTGTGGTCCAGCATGCTCTTTCCTACAGTAGCCAATGGGATGCTGAGCAGAGAACATGAGGGCAACAAACACTCTCCTCTGGAAAGCATCCCAATGTGGTCTAGGAAGTCACTTCATTGAAGCCTGGGTTTCTAGGTTGCAACCTTAGTCACAAATTGTATGTACATATACCACACAATGTAATTTTATGTTTTACGAAATAAAATTATTTACTTATTTGTTTACTTATAAAGCATTTTGGCAAATCTGCCAAACGAGCATTTGTAAGTCACGAGGATAGTCAGAAATGGTAAAAGTAAAAAAGCTTAAGAAGTGGCCACCTTGTGTGCCCTTCATATAATTTCTGTTGAACAGCTTGATAAATTTCTTCTAACTATTCACACATTGGGTAAGATAAGTTACCCTGCATTATTTACTTGGCAACATGAAAAAAGGTGGTGGGTGGGAGAAGATATTATTATTGTTGTTGTTGTTGTTGTTGTTACAGTATTATTATTTAAATTAAGGGCTGAAATATTACATCTCTCAGTTTGGCAGTGCAATTTTGAAGTTTAAGAATACAGACTTGCAAACAACTTTTAATCCATATAAGATAAATGAAATCTTATTATTAATGAAGTTGCATTAAGTTTTATTTTTATTCAACTTAAAAACTTGTAAATAAAGCAGATCATAGTTCTTGCTCTTGCAAACTGGGTCATATGACCTTGGCCACAGGCATGACCACAACTCAGTTCACCTCTGCTACTTTGGGTTATGATAGCATAAACCAGAAACATGTTATAAATGTATACCCTTCTAGTGACTTCTTTGACTAGCCTGAGCCCAACTGATAATCCTTCTCTCCAAGAACTTCGCCAATACATATATGCACAAACTTGCCACCTCGCTGCTGCAACCTGCCTGTGGCAGCATGGCAGGGCTGCACAACAAACTAGATTTTTTTTCTCAGAAGCCAGAGAGATTTCCATGCTTTGCATTAATCACAGTGTAAATATAACAAAACAAATAACACCGCTGGTTCCAGGACTCTTATGTCATATAAATTAACGATTTGTAGCTTACTGATAAAAAGGTAAATGTAAACATAAAATGTCCATGTTCTCTCGAAGTCTGTTAATATTTCATAGACTGAGAGCTTTTGGTTTCCCATGCACACTTCCAGATTACAATGGACAAGTTCCAATCTAGCATGTCAATACCACTTTTCTACAGATGAACTAAAAATGTTCTTCAAACGTGGGCCAAATACAGAAATAAATTAGCTTTGTTTCTTAAAAAAAAATGCACATGTTGAATTGACTTCAGTATGTATAGAAATTTCATTATATTAAAGTAGGTAGACTTGAGTCTTGTATATGTAAGCCCCACTTCTAAAAAAACATTGTGAACAAACTACGTATTTTTTCAACTAGGTGGTCACTAAACAGTTATATGCCAAATGTTGAAAGAAAACTTGATTTTAGAAGATTTGGCGTCTCCCTTTTAGGCTCACTGAAATGGGTGGGGAAGCAGTAAAAGGAGTCCTACCCTAAACAACTAAGAACACTAATATCCCATATTTTATCAATGGCTAATATTAAATTTATTACCCATCCTTCAGCAGCAGCAGCAGCAGCAGCAGCTGGGATGGGTTATAACAATCTAAAGTTCAGAATTTAAAACAGAGTACTGTACAGCCAAAGGAATCGGTTTATTAAAAAATAAAACTTATAATAAAGTACTGCATGAGAATGTTAAACGTGCAACCCATTTCAGGATTTCAAAAATATGCTTTCAGTGCACATGTATGCATATATAAAAGGTCCCTGAAAAATACCTTGACTTCCATTATATCCCATGTTTTTTTGTGTCTGGTCACAGTTTCCTCAGTTTGCTGCTGTTTCTTTCATGCAGCAGATACAACTAGGTCAAACAGACCCTGAGCTAGGGATGGGTAAGTACGTCAATTTTGGTTTCTTTCAGTTTTTCATTCTTCCAGCATATCCAAGTATGCAGCCATGCTCTGGGGCACACTTCCAATACAAAATCTGCCTATGCTTCCTATTTTGCTCCAACATGCTGTGGTAGCCATAATGCCATAGTGAAGAGCAGCAAAACACTTTTGTGCACTTACGTGCGCTAAAAATGACAAAAATGGGGCCACTTTCCAAGGGCTGTGACAATAGTTCTCAAACTCGTCTCCCTGGAATAACCTACTTTTAGTCTTCTCAGATAGCAACAATTAGCTGAAATGCACACACACACACACAAGTCTCCAAGCCTACTAAGCAATTTCTGTCCTGTCCATCAACAGGACATAGTCCAAGCTCCTTGTATGCGAAGGGATCAAGTGACACAAGGCTGCCCATGCCAATGTTTTAAGCCAAAATGAATAACCTGACCCAGTAAAGAAAACAAAAACAATCAGGCACCTCCTCTTATGAATGAACTATCCATTGTTTCATTCTTAAAAGCACTTTCGCTGAAAGCACTTAATGCATTCCCCAGAAATACAATTCAGTAACAAACCTACATTGGCTATAAAGTACATTCTACAGGTTTCTCTCTCTCCCCCAAGACATGGTCTGGAGGCACGAGGCTATCACCTTGCTGAATCTAAGTAGGTCTGAGTCTGCCTGGAAACCTCCTGAGGACCACCAACATACTACCAAGGATTCCATGATTGAAAAAGGTGAAATATAAACAAACAAAACATGTGATAAAAGAGTTAACACTCCCCCAGGAATAGTATGTGAGAGGCTCAAAGGCACCTACAAGCAATCCTAACCACGTCTATCCAGAAATTAGTCCTGTTGAATTCAATAGGATTTATTGCCAGGTAAATGGGATTAGGAATGCAGCCTGGAGTCTTATGTGGATGTAAACAGCTCTAACATATATGCAAGAAATATATGAGAATTTCCTCTGTAGTATTACTATACTCTTAACAGAAGTGATTTTCTTTATCCTTGAGAAATAAAGGCATATCACATAGATGAAGAATATTAAAAGCAAAAACAAAAAGACTATTAAAAGCAAGTTCTTTTAATAGTTTCAACTCCTGCTGGATAAAATTAAGCTAACCATATTCTGCAGTATATGCCAATAAGCCCTGGACACAGAAATACATAAAACTGCTTACCTTAAATCGCAGCTCCTTTCACCAGATCTTGCTGGAGAGCATGTAAGATGTTCGTCTTCCCTTTTATTTTCTGCATGTCTCCTTGCTTCAGCTGATGCTTCCTGAAAAAAGGTTTCATAACATAGTAAAGCACCAAATCATCAAGTTTCAGTCTGCAGAAAAATATATTATTACACACCCCTTCATTTGTGGGTTTGTTTAGAGTCCATAATGTATCCACTCTTATGCTGATTTGGCTTAAAGCACAATAGTATATTCCATGCAACCTCTCTGTTGGCTTTACAATCCTTGTACTCAAGTTACTAATTCATCTGACTGCTCTAGAAAGGAACAACTTTTTTTCACTTTGGCAAAAACTTGCTACTTGCAAGCATTTTAGGACTCTCAAGAACTGTGTGCGTGCACAAATGGGTGTGTTTTGGCACATGCACACAGGAAAGAGGGTGCATATATATATGAATGACATCTCTTTTAAAAGTAGTTAAGACATGGAGCTTTTAGAACTTAATTATCTTAAAAATGCTAAATAACTAAACTTGCAAAAGATGGGTGTACAAAACACCTTGTACAAGAAAGCTACACGTATCTGTGCCCTTACAGCTTCCACACAGAACATACCAAAGGTCTACTGTCCACAGCTACATCCTATGCTACAACTACATCTGCTCCAAGACAGATCCAGAATAAAAAATGACACCCCCACCTGTCACCTAGTTCCCAGCTAAACACATTCCCATTATCCTCATTGATGAGCTACAGTCCATTCCAGATACTTCCCTCTTAAAGGCCTGGAGTGGTATGTCCTTGTCCACAGACAGCATTCTCAGCCAATCTAAACCAACTACTAATCAGCAACAGCAGGCCATATATGAACACTCACAAACAAGGAGTAGACCCTGAAACCAACCCAGGTATCAAGCTGTCTCTATATTTTCTGTTGAACTGATGAGCAGGTCTGAGGAGCCAAACAGGAAACAACTTTATTAAAGGACTATGTACAACAGGCTTTCTGTCCTTTAGCTAATTTCTCACTTTGCTTCTAGCCCTGCTTCCTGCTTGGGCCTAACCAACTAAAGTAGACATGGGAGGTGCCCTTAAAGGTACACTCCCTTACAATATCCATCCTGGCAACACTATTGCTGGTCCTAAAAATATCAGCTATGCAACATCAGCTGCTTGTTCACCTGTCCGTGTTCTAGGGTTGCATATGCTGTCATCTGCCACCAAAGGAACATAAAAGCTGGTACATAGTTAGACCACTGGCCCATACAGCCTAGTATTGCTGACGCTGCCTTGCTTGTTCAGAATCCGCTGTTTAATAATTTAATTGTGCAACCCCAATTTTTTGTATTACTGGAGGAGAAAAAGTTCTCACATTATGCATAATCTTATATACCTCTGTCATTACTCCCAATCAGCTATAGTTTTCCTGGACTAAAAAGTCACAAACTCTTTAGCTTTTCCTTGCAGGAAAGGTGCACTGACTCATTGATTGTTACGGTTGCCCTTATCCGCAACTTTTTCAGTTCTGCAATACCCTTTTTCTAAGACAGAATGCCCAGAACTATACACCATATTCCAAAAATGGCCATACATAGATTCTCATCAACTCGTCATGTTAATGGACCTAAATTGTCTCTACTATGGAATCTTCACTGCTACTGCAATTGTTTTCATTAAGTTATACACCATTAACAGTTAAATTAGGCCTGCCAGTTCATAGTCTGTGAAGTAAGGTCATGTCTGTTCCAATTTGCCTAAGATTACATACGTAACATTGAGCTTCATGTGCCATTTTGTTGCCCAAAAGCAAAGCTTAGAGAAATTCTTTTGGGCCTATTTAATTTGCCTGGCACTTTACCGTCCTGAATAATTTGGAGTCATCCTGGATACCGCAATGCTCACCCTTGACTCCAGATCATTTATTAATGAATTAAATAGTACCAATCAAAATACAGGTCCTAGAAGGATCCTGCTGCTCACTTTCCCCTATTGGAAGTACTGTCCATTTATCCCTACCGTTTGGTTCCTGTTCTGTGACCAGTTATAGACTAGCAAGATGATCTGTCCTCTTATTCCAAGACTGATATTAATCAGAAACCTTTGGTGAGGAATTCTGTGAAAAAGTAGATAACGCCTATCAATACAATTCCTGTTTGGCTGGTAAGCCGAACTGATATTTGTAGACCCTTTGGTATGTTTGTAAGCATACAGCAGGCTGTAAAATTAAATGAAAATGAAAAGCAATCATGAATCTCCTAGATTACTGTCAGTTGGTCCTGTTAATCACTTGGTCTTAAACATTTTGTTCTCTCCAAGGCAAAACATTTAAGGATAGGAGTAAAAGTGCCCTTTACCTGTTTGTAGAAATCTGTGGAAGGGGATGACCTGGACCGTTCATGCGTATATGGAGATTTCTCAAGCTGCTCATGGCCAGCATCAAGGATGTTGTCAGCTGAATGGTATCTTCCCGAGTTCCGAGTTTCTATAGGTTTCCTCTGCTCCTTCCATGATGCCTGGTATTCTGCGAAAGTTTCCAACCTAGGAGATTGTGCAGATTTTGCTTTGCGGCCACTGTAATGGACACTTTCTTTGGGTCTACTGCATGCACCAACCATATTCTCAACTCCAAAAGAAGCCGACCTCATCCTCCTTTCATACCATGACCCTTCAATCTCACCTTCGTAAGAATTGGTATGAGGATCATTAGGAGTCTGTACTTCTGGCCGACCATAAGGTGCATGTCTTTGTGAAGATTTTTGGTAGGCAGGCTTGCTCGTTTCTTCAAAGAACTTCCACCTATCTGCAAAAGAACCCAAAGCTTCCTCAGAAGTAGTTGGACGACGGCGTGGCCGGTAGTCATCATCCGACACCCCCACTTCATTTATCTTCTCGGGCTCAGAATAAGATTTCAATTTTTGTTCCGTTGTGAACCTCTTCCTAGCTCCAATGCGAGAAACGTGGTGAATGTTACTACCAGGTGAAGTCTGTTTAGAAGACTGCCTAGCCCCAAGGAAGCCTGCCTCGTCTTCAGAGACAAGAGCCAGTGGAGAAGAGTTATAATTATTTGTCTTCCGGTCTGGAAGATAATCCGCAGAACTGGGCTCCAGGTCCCTTCGCTGGAAAGAGGTGGCCTTCAAGACCCTGGCCTGGGCCTCTTTCAGATTGTCTTTGTATACATTAGTAAAAGAACTTTCTGATGAGGAGTTTATCTTTTCTGCTGAATCGGGTTTCCAGTTCTCAGCATACTCTTCGGTCTCACTTGACCCCGCTAAAACAGCTGTGCTTTTGCTTTTCTGTAACTTTGCTCTTTTCATCTGGATCTCGTTTCTCAGTGTGGTAGCAAAACGATCACTCCTTCGTGTGTTTTTGCCCAGGTTAGCATCAAATGCAGGCTGCTTAGTAATCTCCGCTTCGGCAGCAGGATCAGCCTGGCTTTTCCCTTCCTGAGCTAAAGAGTGCAACATTGGGGTCTTCTGAGGAGAAATTTTGTAGCTCTCTTCTTGACTCCACTTGAAATCTTTTGGAGGAGCTTTACTGGTGGGCACTAAGGCACATTCCCGCCCATATTCCCGCTCACAGTAACTATCGTGGTTCTCCTCAAAGTTCTTGGCTTGCACTGGCTTTTCAGGGAAACTTACCTTTCTAGATTCTTCCATTACAATTGTTCTAACATCCTCTCCTTTATTAACTATGTAATGACTGCTCTTTTCACATACATCTAGAGAAGGCTCAACAGGCTGCTGAGGTAGACAGTATTTGGGACTTTGGATCATTGTAGTCATAGCAGGACTCTCCTGCGGTCCAGAGGAAGTATGGTTCCCTATGCCAGTTTTCCGACATTCATCTTTGAGTAGTGGTCTCGAGTTTCCCTGAACAGGCTGTTTCACTGTCACACAGTAATAGCGGCTTAGCCCTGTGTTGTCCATTTTCTCCTCAGCACTCACGTCAGAAGAAGTGGCAGCAGCAGCAGCAGTACTATCAAGTATCCTAGCGTGGTTTGGATGACAGCTACGTTTGTCAGTGGGCCTTTCTTGAATGCCAGCATAAGTGGAGAGGTGCCGCTGCTCTTTAGGTGATGCAGAGACTTTTGCGTTGCGAAAGAAAGTGCTTTCATCACTGTACTGGCGCTGGTGATGGTGGCCATAAGTGGACTGTGCAAATCGAACGTCCGTGCTGGACAGAGATGATTGCAGCCTGCTGAAATTTCCTATGATGTTGTTGTTGACCCTGTCCCCGGCAGAAGACAAACCACAATCCAGACTGAGATCGGATCTGTAGACTGGTTTGCTGCTCTGCCTACCTTCAGAGGCCCTGTCGACTGCTCTGGCATCTCTCTTTTGTTGCTCTACAGTTTCAGCACTCCAGTCACTCTTGGCTTGCAGCCGGTGCTGGACGTCAAAGTGCTGGGTGCTCTGAATACCCTCTGAATAAGGAGCAGCATGGGCTCTCTCGTGACTTTTGGTGGCAGCAAAGCTATCACTACGAAGAGGTGGTGGTGGTGGTGGAGGGGAGGGCGACTTTTTCTTCTCTGGGACATACCACACAGGCCCAAAATTTGATCTTCCGGCCCCAGAATACTTTGAATCAGAATAATCTTCCAGCCGGGGGCTCCTGTTGTTTTCATACTGTGGCGCTTGAGGTGCAAAGCAGGTATTTTTCTCATCTAATCCTCCATTATCACTTAGAAATGAGGCAGCCTTGCTATTTCCTGATTTTGGGGTTTCCCAGTGACCCACCTTGTACCCGGCATTCTCAACTGAGGCAGCATCTGCACTGGTCAATGTGTGGTCAGGTGTGCTAGAGCTAGTAGAGAAAGAGCCATAGGCGGAATCCCTTTTGCTGGGATTCCCCAAGTGGTCAATACTACTGTTGGACTTTGCAGAAGACATCTGTCCATATTGATACACCTGGGGTGTGTGATCCCAGCTGTCCATGCTTCCAGCAGAACTGAACTGGTCTGAGGTGCGATGGAGATTTGGCTGGTCCCATGAGCTTGACAGATCATGGGAAGAGGAGCTGTAGCAAAATATGAAAAGGGCTTTCGTCAATATTGCACCAACAAAACCCATACTCTCTGTTGGTAGAAACAGCCATACTAGATAATATTACAAAAATGCAAATATTATAAAATCAAAATGCAAATATTATAAAATCAAAATACACTGTTTCTGTACTTTACATATGCTGCTGCCCTTTCCCCACCCCTATTTTTAATAATACATCTGTTGTTAAATATGCATTCTGCCTTATAGCTGTATATGAGACAAGCAGAAAATAAGTTATTAGACTCTTGTTTTTCACAAGGATTGAATTGTGAAATTTATTCCATCGTGAGTATTTTGACACTGCTGCTTATTATGTATTGCTTATATGCTTGTTGTATAGAATCACAGAATGTAAGAGTTGGGAAATATTATGTTATGTGTTTGCATTTTGGTGTTTTTGCCACTGAGCTGTAAACTGTCCTGTGACGTTTTGATGAAGGGGCATGTGTGTGTGTGTGTGTGTGTGTGTGTGTGTGTGTGTTTCTGTAAAGTACAGAAACACACACACACACACACACACACACTGTAAATATACTAGTATAATCTGCATAGCGTATGAGTCCAACAGAATGCCCAGCAGAGTCTCCATTGCCCCAGGCCCTAACAGAGAACCCTTGACATGGGCTTAGTGATCTCTCCACATTTATCTCCCAACTCCCAGGTTGTCCCTAAGGAAAGTCAAAACAAGTAGAAGTTCCCATGCAGCCAGGACCCACCTGTGAATATAAAGTCCATGACAGGTTTTCATTCTACTTTGTAATACGTGTCAATGAGAGCATTTGAAGAGTATATAACAAAGCATTTTTTTTTAAATAAAATCAAATCTGTGATTAGGCACAGAGGAAACTGTTTCTGAAGCCATCCAGCATACTGGACAACAAGATTTATAGAACCATAGGGGCAGGTTAAGTGTTCAAAACAACTAAGAAAGCAGCTTTATTTTAAAAGTTTGAATTTGTATTATTAACATAAGCAGTAAATGGTAGTAAATGTCTAAAGGCGACTTAATGCTCTTCTTTTTAAAAGTAAACATAGCATGAAACATTTAAGATTACATTACTTAGTACTCCAATAAAATTGAATCAAGTTCCACTTTAGGGCCATGAATGGCAAGTATACTTTTCCCAGTTTTTTGTTTTTTTGGTAAATTAAAAGTCTGTATATTCTGAGACATGTTTTACATGCCACCAAAACAAAGAAGCAAATGGAATGCAAGGTCTGTGGCTAAAGGAACGCTTTGTGAGAGCTTGTAACCAGATCATGGTATACCTGGATTACAGAGAGACATTTTACCACCTGAACTAAGATGTAATTTTTTTTTATCCCCAAAATAGTTCTCATACAACTCATTACTGAGAAACATTCAGTGACTGAACAGGCGACGATGTGCCCTACCCAATTCTTTTTAATTGCTACATAGCAAGCAGAGATGTAATTAAAGAAAGCAATTGCATGACAATTCTTTAGGCATACACAGAAAGAGTGTGTTTTCCTCTTAAATACTTGCTTTGGAATAGGAGATTTGGTTTCTTACTCCTTCCATTGCATTTTAGTACTTTTAAGGGGCTTTTACACACCTGAAAACTGACGCCTGAAGAAAGGCCGAGAGAAAAGAAAAGAAAACCTGCCGGAAGAACCTGTAGTTCACTCTATTTACTTAGCTGCATAATGGAAAATACCCTGCAGACTAAGGGCCATCAGGCCCTTGTTATATCTAAGTTCCCTCATTACACAACTCGCTTTGTGCACAAAGACCAACTTAAAACCGTGCAGTTGCTGGCCATTTTAAGATAAGGAACAAACCGAGGCAAGCAATTATTTTCTTACCGTTGGAGCTGGATGCATGTTAATTTTAAACAGGAACTCACCTTGCATGATACCGAGAGTGCCAGGAAGCACAGGGATCGGTTGAGGAGAGCCGTGACGTGGCTGTCTCAGGGTGACTCTCCGTGAATTTGGTCGCATGCCAGGAGTGGGGCCTGCAGGCTAGATCATTCTTTCTGGAATGAGAAAGGAAAAACATAGGCATTTACTGCATATATTTTTAAAGCAATCAACCTCAGACCTAATTAACAAACACAGTAAGTAGGCTCAGGTTACAGAGCAGTGTCTGCTGCTCTAGGAAATCACCTTTGAAAAGAATCCAGGTGCTTTTTTTTTAAAAAAAGCATTTGAAATACAGACAGTGAGTCAAAGCCTGGAATGTTTCACCTCTTCGAGGCAGATAAAAGCACTTACTGATTATCTGTGAAATCCCTTATAATATAGACGCATACCGTCTATAACAATTAAGTCTTGTATAATTGCATGGAAGTACAGAAATGAGTCACTTTGTGTTTCAGCAACTCTCATTTTTGAAACCAGAGTAGGTGTGGTTCAGTGACAATGGCCAGGAACTCTGATCTATATTCAAATACCTGCTCATTAAGAGAGAAAACGTAATGTAAAAAAAAAAGAGGGTGCTCCCCACATTTCTCAGTAGTGATGCAAGCCCAGTTTTGCCAGTCAACTGGCACAAAAGCTTCCTGGGCTATCAAGCGTTGGTTTGAGAAGCGAGCCTTAGGCCTCCCTTTCAACCTTGCCATTCCCTACTGCCATCTTCTCATCCAGTAAATGGAGAAAGTTATCAAACTGTCCTGCATCTGCCTGCCTGAAACAGCGCAGCATCCAATTCAGAGGTCAGCATCACTGACAAGCACCTTACGAGGTCGATACACCAGCAGGGGCCTGAAGCCAACCATCCCACCTTGCTCCTGCTTACTGCTGCTGCCTGCCTACTACACCCCTTTTCAAGCATGCAAAAAGTGGCAATAGTTTAGAGAAAGAGCCCCTGTCCTCTCCTCGTGAGCCGAAGTAGAGAGTGGGCTCACAAGGAGAAGCCAAGCAAATGGCTAGTGGTGACAGTGGCAGGGAGTTCTTCAATGGCATCTTGCCCAATGGCCTCCTAAAAACTTGGGAGCCAACAGTGTTCCACCAGTTTTAGGCACCTGGTTGCAAAGCTTTGTTGGGCATGTAGAAGGAGGAGAGGCAGGGAGGGAGGTTCAAGACCAGCTACCTGCTCTGGTCACTTGACAGTTCTGTTGTGAAATCTGTCACAAAGGACCATGGGGCCTCTTTTCACATGGTGGTTGTCTCTCAACCCATGTCCATAAAGAAGCCAGCATCAGAATCCAATATGCCTAAGCAATAGTTGTCCATTTTGGCTAAATGGCTTGAAGGCTAATTGCTTCAGGGTTTCACACAGCTTGGCATGTGTGGGAACCAACACTGTAACAGTTGCATGAGGTTGAATAGCCTGTGTGGACATGCTATTCTGTAAGAGCAATGCCATTTCTAAAAAAAACAACACATGTCCAAGTCCTTCATAAATCCAACTTCCCACACAATGCTGACAACTTAATGCTATCATTGAGTTCTGCACATGCAAATCTAATCCCACAAATTCAATGATAATTGTTGTGGCTGTCTCCACAGTTAGCTGATGAATCATGCAATTGTCTAGTTTAAAAACAGTAGCCTCATAGTGGAATCCTATGCATGTCTATTTAGAAGCCCCTTTGAAATTCAATGGAACTTACTTTCTGATAAGTGATAATTGGTAGGATGGCAGTTTAACCACAAACTGTTTATTTGTTTGTTGTTTGCTTGATATATATGCATGCAACCAGAATGGTTTGTACAAAATGTGAATGAAACATGAGGCTACAGAATGACTACATGGCCAGATGCTTATCATGGAGAGATGGAAGTGGGAATGGAGGATTTCAGAATGGATTACTGAGAAGGGTTTTTCTATTAGGAGAAGGGATAGGGAATGCTGTCTTTGTGAAACCAACACCATACCTCATGGAGCTTCTCAAGATCTTCGTAAGATAGCTCCTGGCCACATGAACATCACTTTCAGACGGCATTTTCTGTGTTACAATATCCACCACCAAATTCATCTTCCTGAGCCGACAGCGAAGCAGAGGAGGAACACAGTAGACCAGAGGTTCTCAGACTTTTCCATAGTGAGTCTCACCCCACAATAGAAAGGGGGAAAAAGCAAGCTGACTGACACTCCATGCTCTCATTCCGTGATTGTGAGCAAGGAAAGACAGAGAACATGGTCATGCCAGTCTGCAGAGGAACACTAGAGTAGCATAAAGCCCACTAAAAAGAGAAATTTGCCTAAACTCATTTGAAAACCATGGGGATAGAAACAAAGCAAAACAGAGAAGAGAGATTTGGGGTTTTGCTTCTTTATGTGGATGAATTTTGGATTTTTTAAAATTAAAAACAACAACCCCACACTGCATGTTTCTGAAATACTACGTGAATGCTTTCAGTTTTGTTAGTACACTGTTATAGGCTGCTATATAGGAGAGGATTGGTTTACATTATTGTATCATGCCCACATGCTAGTTACTGAGAAGAGCCGAATTGCAGTGCTGTTGCTTTTTAAATTGAAAAGACCCCTTCAATCATTGATTCCTCCGTGCATTTTAGACCACTATAAATAGGCTATCCAACACAGAAATTAATCCCAAATCCCTTGGTGCAAACAGAAAGAAGTCTGAAAAGAGAAAGAGCAAGATATTAACAAAAATTATACTGCTAGAGTGAAATACTTTGCAGGCGACTAGACTGGTTAGTATTTCCTACAATTCTGCTGTATCAACTGTAAGTGACAGAATGAGAACACCTGAACCCAGAAAGCAACTCTGTTACTAATGGCAATAGTAATAACTGCCTCCTTCGTGTTCCTAACCCTAAACAGAAATGATACACCTATGAAGTCGTCCGAGAGAAGGAAAACTAAAGTTAATATTTGAGGGGACAAGACAATGAAAGAAAATATTTCGGCATATTTTTTACATCGAGTAGATCATGCTTCATAGCATGTCTTCAAATTTTTACTGCATGAGGTTATCTTTATTAACACTTTCAGTGAAATCTATTTCTCCCCCCACCCCACCCTACCCCACCCCAGTATTATAAGAGCTGAAACATAGCGGAGTTCTCTGACACAGAAAGCTAGAAGCTCAGTTCCTGACTACACTTCAAGAGAGTGCCTTCACTATGGCATCTACACATGCACTTGTATAGTTACAAGCATTATGTGCATAGTGTCCCAAAGTGTATTATGCACATAAACGGAGTGAAACAAAATAAACAGGAATTAGATACAGGTATTATATATTCTTGTCCCCTCAACAAACACACAGACACACACACACACATACACATACACAATCCTACCAACCCACCAGCAATACTTGAAAATTTAATGACATACTACCAAAATAGAACTGGACAACAAATGTAACCAGTTGCTTTGCGGGATGACTTTCGAACCCACACACTGGCCTCCTAAAACATGTTTTAGTTTTGAAAAATAAACAATAAAAAGTCTTGAAAAATAAACAGTAAATAAAATAGACAAGATCACAAAGAGAATTTATGAAGGTATGTCTTAAAACGTAAGTTGGAGAGGGTCAGCAATATATATATATGTGTGTGTGTGTGTGTGTGTGTGTGTGTGTGTGTGTGTTGGTGAGGGTCAGCATTATATATGTATACAGGGTGTGTCCTTTAAAAGAGGCCCCATGGATACAGAGTACACATGTTCCATGGGGCCTCTTTTAAAAGACTCACCCTGTAGATGTATGTACCTGGATATTTTAAATGGCAGGTGGTACACAAACACAATGGAATATCTATCTATCATCTATCTATCTATCATCTATCTATCTATCTATCTATCTATCTATCTATCTATCTACCATCTATCTATCACGATATACTTATGTGACAATGTCATTCTTCAGATATTTTGTTTTTGAGAAAGTGGCCAATGTTTTGAACAATAAGTTTATGCTCCTTTCCCCTGAAATACATAGCTGTATGCTTGTATGCTATGTTTGTGCTCATATAATATTGGATAATTCTGACTTAAGTCATATTCAAAGTATTACTTAAATCTATTGATTTCACTGGGTTTACTCTGGTATGAATTAGCTGGACATCATCTGCTGTATATCTGTGTATGTTTGTACTGTATTCAAAAGGTGGTGGTTGCTTTGTTTTTTTAAGCTCACACTTTGCAACAAGACCTAGCTAAAATCTAAAATATGTGCCACTGCTTTCAATGGGACTTAGGGTTGTGACTAAGCCTGGCGTATGACAGCTGCCACTTAACATTTTTTGCTAGGATATTTACCAATTCCAAGAGATTTGGTAACATTGTTGCTTAGATTTATTTTCATCTCACACAGCAGTTTCGTGCTGTGACACAAACTAGATATGAACTTACTGATGGCGTGATAAATTTAGAAAAGAAAATACATGCTGACAAGGAACGAGAAATTTTTAATTCATTGTTCTTTTATTCAAGAAAAGCATTCCCACCCCCTTTTTATAAGATGACAGCAATTGCTTGCTGCTCACATTTAGAGCAAAATTCCTCCCTCTACTGGCTACTTCCTCTGCAAAATCGGCACCACTTTGAAAAGAAAGAAATGCCAGCTAGAAAATGAGGAGATAAGAACAAATCAGTTTCTAAGTCTTTCTAGACTGAAATGTCTCTCTGCTGATCTAGCTCCTCACTAATTCAGACATAATTACCGGTACATTATGATGCTATTCTTCCTGTATGGTAATTCCACACTGACAAAATCTGTTGCTTTTTATCTTCAAGCTACTACCCTGCATGCTCCTCACAATAACTGTCCCAAGTTTGGACGCATCACCGTCAAGCATATACTAGCAAAAGTATTATTCTATGGTGCGTCTTACGAGCTTACCTGCTGCCAAGAAAACATGCAATTGAGCATTCAAAATAATCAACTGAAAATGCAGTGATATTACAGCCACATATAACACATGAATGAAATGTGTTATCAAATGATTCCAGTTTTACGCAGCACAGGTCTGCATTTTTTCGACTTCTGAAGTCTCAGGTAAAAAGTGGAACAATTTCCCACGGGATAAGAATTGACACATCAGCACCCATTACTGAGCCATGCATGACTAAAAGGCGTCTTGGTCATTCTTGGGATTCTTGATCTGGGAATTTTCCCAATCACCAACACTTATGCAATTTTATCAAGTTATTGTAACACAGTTTAGGCTGGTAAGAGATGACATTCATCATTATTATCCCTTCAAGAAACATTTCATGCTGCCTGTTCCTTTCAGCTGGTATACAGTGAAGAACTATTTGCTTCATCACACAACACCACCACTGTACTTTCCTTAACTGTTCCAGGTACTTCTGAGCATTCTCTCCATAATCCTTTGAACAAAACCCCATGGAAAAAAGTCAGTACCATTGCTGCCTGATAATAGATGGTAGGGCCTGTTCTGGGAAATGGCAACTTGCCCAAAGTCACCCAGGAAACTGTTGAGATGGACCATGCTTGAGACTTCTGCCTCAAAGTTCTTGCTCTTAACCACCAAACCAAACAAATTCTGAAAGGAAATTCCTTTCTGATTCAGCTATATCTACTGTCTTCAATCAATAAGACTTCGGCCACCAATTTAATTACTCCAAATTAGCCGCTCCTTTTAATGCAACCACACACTGTTAGATCAATTATATTTTCACCAAGGGAGTCAAGTTCTCTGCTAATTTGAAAACAAATATGAACTACATGCACCTCCAGTCAAATTGAGGTCCTTAATTGATATCTAGTCCTGGAGACCAATACAGCCACTCAGGATATGTGTACTCTAACCAATATATTTACTCCCCATCATCCCCTTCTCCAGTGCTAGAAAAAATACCATGTCACATGAACTTATGGTGGCAAAAGTACTGGGAGAATTAACTGTGGAACAGCATCACAGATGCTTCTTTCCATCTCTGCTTAATTGAGTGCAAGGGCAAAACACAGCCAAGCGGCTATTGGTCTCTTAAATGTGTGTGCATTTTAGCAGCAACGGACCTGTAGCCTTACTGCTACAGATGGCAATAAAACACCTTGACAGATGGGCAGCCTACTGATGCCTCATGTTTGTCTTATTATGATACAAAAAGGAGATTCATAGCTGTGTTTACGGGATCAAGTTTACCCTTCTACTGAGAGCCCCCAAGAAAGATGTAATGTTTCATTGCTCTTACAGCAAGGTTTATCTTCCTCTGATTTAAGCCAAACACTTTGTTAGTTTAATTATTTGAATGCGTTTCTTGAATTCTGTTTCTTGAAGATTTTCTTGGAAGATGAAGCTATAAACTATACTTTTCACTAAACTTCAGCTTCTACCTAAAAAGGGAAGCTGGAGCAACATGACTGGGTTAGTACTCTGAGGAAACTGGTTGTCCTTCTCTCTGAGGCGGCTTGTATCTCTTTAAGAATAGAATCATTTTTTCTATGTAACCCCCACCCCCTTTGAAGCTAAACAGGACTAGCTAATGCGGTGCCCTCCAGGTGTTGATGGATCACAATTTCCATAATTCCTGATGACTGACTGGATAGGCTGGGGCTCATGGGAGTTGTAGTCCATCAAGATCTGGAGGGCACTGCATTGGTAGCACTTGCACAGAACTATAGCATGGAGCTATAGCATCTCCCTATAATAATTCATTTAGTAAGTCATGTGGTTAAATAAAAATGGTGCACTATCAACATAAAACCATATGGTGAACACCACACACCTGAACTGAACACCTGAACAAAGTAGCAGACTAGGACCTGGGAGACCAGTTTTCTCGTACCTTGTAGACCATAATGCTCACTGGGTGACCCTGGGCCAGTCACAGTCTCTCAGTCTAACCTACCTCACAGGGTTGTTGTGAGGATAAAATGGAGGGAACTATATACAGTGGTACCTCGGGTTAAGTACGTAATTTGTTCCGGAGGTCTGTTCTTAACCTGAAACTGTTCTTCACCTGAAACACCACTTTAACTAATGGGGCCTCCCGCTGCCGCCGCGCCGCCAGAGTACAATTTCTATTCTCATCCTGA